ATCATTGTATAACTGAAACTCAAACATGAAAGTTTGTAAGTCTACAACGGTATCTCATGGTCTTTCACTAATAAAAATATTTAAAGGAAAAAAAAAGAGCCTGGAGATTGCTCAAATGGTAGAGTACATGCCTCGTATATGGAAAGCACTGAATTGTATTCAGCGTAGTGCAGTTGCATCTCTAAGCCCCCAGCACTGCAGATTCCACCTCTATAGCCTCTTGAGCACCTCCCTGTGAAACCTGCATCAGTCCAAACATCATCAGGACTGACCCCTTTATAAAAATTTAATAATTTTCATAAGCATTGACTTAAATCTTGAGTGTTAAAACAAAACTGTTTAAGTCACACAGTAGCACTGTAGCACTGTCCTTCCGTTTTTTATCGATTTGCTGAAGTGGGCACCGGTAATGTCTCAATTGTGAGACTTGTTGCTGTTTTGGCATATCAAATACATCATGGGGAGATTGCCAGGCTCTGCCGTGCAGGCAGGATACTCTACTTAGCTAGCCGGGCTCTCTGAGAGGGAAGGAGGAATCGAACCTGATTCGGCCGCATGCAAGGCAAACACCCTCCCCGCTGTACTATTGCTCCAGCCCAAGTTCACCTACTATGTGGTATCACTCCAGCCTAAGTCCAAATACTATTGCTCCAGTATGTGGTGATAACCCAGGGAATTATTTGTGATCTATCTGGAGAGCTTTCTGTTTCTAGGAACCTAGTTGACTATCACTTGCTTGTCTGTTCTTTAACCTTGAAGCTCTTAAAGGAAATTGGTGTAGCTTAGGTTCAGACTTACTTAAATAGGCTGCCAAGACATAGGCCACCAGTCTAATGACCTCCTTGTTTAATTTCTTTAATACATGCTTCAGCAAAGTGTTAGTCATTTGTGTGGGGGTGGGAGGTGAAGTGGAGGTTAGGTGCGAAAGTCGCTGTTCTAATTTCTTTGACTTATTTAAGACAAATTAACAGAAAATAAATTTAATTTTATATGTAAAGTAACTTCACATAGTCATGAGACTCAAAGACAGTCAGACAACTGAGCATTATATGCCATTCTGAGCCAAGACATGAGTTTGGGCTCTGGACTTCTAAGGACACAAGCAAAATTCACAGGCAAATAAGAAGAGCAAATGTTTGGTAATCAGCTGTTGCTCTTGACATGACTTGTCCTTCTGATTGAAAATATACATATACATAATACATCTGGTTACAGCAATCTTTCTAGTACCCATATATATGTTTTTAGAAAACTAGTGGTTGTTAACCTTCCTCCTGGACTTTTGTGTCTTGATTCCCTCCAGTTAAAAATAATCAAAAATTTTAAGTGACATATTGTGTCTCTCGTCTTCACTTGCAAGATGTATCTCTTCCTATGGTCTGGATGAGAGGAACAGAGATATCTGTCTTATGTTCATTTTATGAGTTCTTTTCTTTGAATTAAGGAGTATGTTAATTATGTATGATGGATAGAAAAACTTGATCATGTGCCATCTTTTGTTCAGCAAAAGCTTTTAATTGAGTAAGATTTAGTTACTGTTATGTGGTGAACAGCATGGGTGTCTTATGATACTCAGCGCTACCTAATCTCTTTTTCTTTGTCACATGGTGATGCTCAGGGGTTATTCCTGTCTAGCATTCAGGAATGACTCCTGGCATTGCTCAGTGGATCATACGGAATGGCAGGAATTGAACCTGAGTTGGCCATGTTCAAGGCAAATGCCCCAACCGCTGTACTATTGCTTTGGGCCCCTAATCTCTTTTAAGACTATAAATATTGAATATAGTATGGGAATGCTCTGTGGCCAGCAAAACTAAGAGCCAGACTTGAAAAAATAATGCTTATACCCACAAATGCCAATAAGGGGTCATCAGGGAAAGCATCAAGTACTAAGCAAGTGACAGAACATAGGCATGAAGATAGAGCCTGAGCCAAATTTTGAAGATTATTAAGATAGGTCTAAGGGTTAGTGTGCATCGCTCCAAACAAGAGGACTGGTTAGATAAAATCCCTGGCTTTTAAGGGAATTGTCAGTGGCACTGGAGCACTGCCAGGCATGCCCCTCCACCCCACCCAACAAACAATAACAATAACAAAATACTTCTGGAAAAGAAAAACAGGCAAAGTTTAGGATTGATTAGTGTCAGTGATTTCTAAAGACTTTTCTCTCTATGGATGGTTTTTGGTTGCCAATAGGTAGACCTGGAGAGTTGAAGGAAAGGTAAACAGTGTGCTGGTGACTGGTTGGAATGGAGTTTTGTTGATTTGTGTTGAAAAGATATGCCGTTTTCCAGACCCCTTTGCTGTTTATAAGACGTAGATGCTCCTGGGTGTGGCACAGTCTCCCGGATAGTCAAATAACAAGTGGAACATTTTATTATATAGACAATAAAATATGAAGGGCTAACTCCAATAATTGATCTACTAAATAATACTTGGTTAATTATTTAATAATGAGCCTGGTTAAAACTTTCAATAAGAGTTTTAGCCTAGAGGTATTAAAATATAATTATTCAAACAACTTGTGGAGAATATCATTTTTGGTTCTGCATAGGAAAATTAGAGAATTCAGCATAGTCAATAATAAATGCATATATATCCAAAGAAACAAACAAATTTGATTAGAAACTTATCTAGATAATGAATGAGTAATTAGGATTCCAGTGGGTAAAAGCTTATAATTTTGGACCTTGATCTTGACAGTTCTCATCTTATTTTACTAGCTATATTGTTAAGAGTTAGTTTGTCATTTAACATGTTATTGTAAAGTTAGTTTGTAAATGCAATAGTGACAGTGCTCATTATATGCAGAGATAACACCCGGAGGTGAGTGATCTTATGTGTCTTCATGAGATCAGTTAATCATCCCTGATAAATAGTGAATATGTTTTATGAGCTTACAGCCATAGATTTCAAGGAACTTTCTTTTCTTCAAATGTTGTTTCTTCTGGGAAATGATGTCTGAATTTCAAGGGGTCATCTTACAAAATCTTAGATACTAGTCACTTTTAAATGTACTTGATATACAATAATTTTTGTGGAAATTTACAGTGGATTATTGCAAGTATTTAGTGTCATAGCAGTATTTATATCATGAAGTATTAAGTGTCATAACAGTTCTGTAGACTGCGGAAAGAAGTCATTCTATTAGAAACTATAGTAATTGAAATTCAACTGGCCTTGATTAAGTGACTCTCTACAACCAATTAAAATAAGAAACTGCAAACTGAATACATTAAATAATCTTACTGTAAATCACTGAAGTATGATATTAAGAAATAGTATATTCACAAGAGAAATAGTTTTTTTTATTTCTGATGTACTTTAATAGAAATGAGAAACTATAATTAGCATGCTTTCCCAGAAAGTTTATAAAGGTACCAGGGTACTTTTTCATTTATTGACAATTGTTCTAAATATATCATGAAAAATATATACAAATATATTGATATGTGTACATATATATTTGCAAAATTTGTAACTAGACTCATGGAAATATTAGATGTATAAATGCTAATAAAGCCTATTAATTACAATATACTCAAATATTTTTATTAATTTTATCTAAGAGGATAAACACATCTATGTTGATAAGAAACAATATGCTTTCTATGTAAACTGAAGTCAATATTCTTGTAAAGGTAATTATATTATCTAACTGAAGGTATTTAAAAATTCTTACAGGTCTTTTCCTTTTTGTCCCTTCTCTATTTCTCTATGTTATTACTTGATGAGCTTCAGAGTCAATTCATATTGTTCCTGGAAAAAACTTGTAATGTCCTGCTTCAAGATTTATGTACTTAGTATTTTATTTCTCATTAAGTTTACTCTCACCTCTAAAAAAATTTTTTTGATTGTTACTAGCTCAGAGAACTTTGGCTACCATTTTTTTTTTAAATTAAAGTCTCTTCTACCACCTCTCTGCTTTTTTTTACCATTGAACTTTCTACTAGATTTTTTATATTACTCATTTATGATTTTCCTTTCTATTCTATATAAACTTTATAGAAACTTTATAGGGCTGGAGTGATAGTACAGCGGTAGGGCGTTTGCCTTTCGCGCAGCCAGCCCGGCCTAGCCAGGTTTGATTCCTCCGTCCCTCTGGGATAGCCTGGCAAGCCACCGAGAGTATTCAATATGCCAAACACAGTAACAAGAAGTCTCATAACAGAGACATTACTGGGCCTGCTCGAGCAAATCGATGAACAATGGGAGGACAGTGATAAAACAGTGATAAATTCTATATAAACTTTAAAAAGACAGTTATTTCTCAATGATTCACTTCTGTATTTTCAGTGTTCAGAATAGTGACTGGTAATTCTTGAATAAATATAAAGTTTTATTCACATGTTTTCTATCAAAGGAGACTCGTATAGGGATTGGAGAGAGAGAGTACAGCAGGTGAAGTGCTTGCCTTAAACATGGCAGACACAAAGTTCTATTCCTGAGCATTTTATGTAGTCCCTCAAGTGCCACCAGAAATGAAACCCTGAGTGCAGAGCAAGGAATAAGCTCTGAGTATGGGCAGGGTGGTTCCCCAACCAAACAAAAATGTGACTTGTAAATATTTAATGAAATAGAAGTAAATATACTTTAATTTGTGACAAATCGTGTCTGTGAACAGACAGATCACCAGGGTACATTTGTCAGTAGTCTAGTTATTTTGATTAGCTAATGGATGCTATTTAAAGTTCTTAGAGTGTACCAGGAGATTTTTATATGTTAACTAATTCATGTCTCAGATTAGTTAAATTGAGCAGGAATTATTTCCAATTCCTTTTAACAGCTGAGCAAACAAATTATATCAAGTAGTCCTTGATCATGCAATAAGTATGTTAGAAAGCTTAACTCATACTATACAGCCTGTTGTAGACTTAGTTAAAACTCTGCTGTGATTGAGACTGGCTTCATTAGTATACTTTCATTGATTAATTTTGCCAAAATTGAAAATTGACTATTTATAAGAATTTTAATTGTTTTTTATTTGCTTTATTTTTCAGTGGGATGCCATCACGGAAATGGATGAACACAATAGGCCTATTCATACATACCAGGTATGCAATGTAATGGAACCAAACCAAAACAATTGGCTTCGTACAAATTGGATCTCTAGAGATGCAGCTCAGAAAATCTATGTGGAAATGAAGTTCACATTGAGAGATTGTAATAGCATCCCATGGGTCTTGGGAACTTGCAAAGAAACTTTTAATCTGTACTATGTAGAATCAGATGAATCCCACGGAATCAAATTCAAACCAAGCCAGTATACCAAGATCGACACAATTGCAGCGGATGAAAGTTTTACCCAAATGGATTTGGGTGATCGCATTCTCAAACTCAACACTGAAATTCGCGAGGTTGGACCTATAGAAAGGAAAGGATTTTATCTGGCTTTTCAAGACATTGGGGCATGCATTGCTTTGGTATCTGTTCGTGTTTTCTACAAAAAGTGCCCGTTCACCGTTCGTAACTTAGCCATGTTCCCCGACACTATTCCAAGGGTTGACTCTTCCTCTTTGGTTGAAGTAAGAGGCTCTTGTGTGAAGAGTGCAGAAGAGCGGGACACTCCTAAACTATATTGTGGAGCTGACGGAGATTGGCTGGTTCCTCTTGGAAGATGTATTTGCAGTACAGGATATGAAGAAGTTGAGGGTTCTTGCCACGGTAAGAAACAAGCATTTATATAACTTCTGTGTATTTAATTGATATTTTATAAAGATAAAGCTGACAGACATTTCAAATAGGAAGCATTTTTGGAGAGAGAATTTTTGCGTGTTATTTCTGGAGGAATTAATAGTAAAGTTATGATCTCTTACTAAGTATGATACAGTATCTGATAGATATTTTTCTCTTGGGGATGGTGTATGAAGATGTAAACAGTGATTGCTCTCTTAAAGTAGTCCTTGCTACAATCCTAACTGCAAGGGATCAATTAGAGAATCTGTGGTACACTTTTGGTTTAAGGGAACTCTCAGAGCAAGATGGATATGTTTATTACATGTGAGTGACTGTCGAATTTTGAAAGAAAATATGAGAATGAGAAGACAATAAAGTGTAAACATGATAAACACATATGATACATGAATCGTATTGTTTATTCATTTTAAATTATTTAGAAGTTTGAGGGATAGACAGATATTACAACAGGTAGAGTGTTTGCTGTGCACGTGGCAAACAAGGACTTATTCTTGGCTTCCTTTATGGTTCCCCAAGCTTTGACACGGGTGATTCCTGAGTGCACAAAACAATAATAACAACAAAAGTTAAGTAGAAGTTGAAAATAGTTTGGTAGAAATACATTTTAGAAAATATTTAAAGAATTATTTTGTAATCTTAAGATTTATGTGACTAGCTTCTATTCTATATTTGTCTTTTATGATATTCTTTTATAGATCTTGATATAGTGAGAATCTCTTATAGTGAGCTCGGAATGATTTTACTTAAAGTGTTTGATCTGTAAAATTTCCTCTTTATTATATGTCATAAAACACCTAAAATTCTCTTACACTGGTGATTTTAGATAAGTGATTTTTATAACCTACTTATCTAGAACATCTAATCTCATAAATTTTATAATTTGTCTTTATTATAGTTTGTTTTATTGCAGTAACAGGAGAGAGCATATACAGCATAGATCCTTTTGCATACTTGGCAGAAATGAAAAGAATTAAGTATTGATTCTAAGTTATTTTATAAATTCTGAAATCACGTTTCCTTATCCATAAATAAATAGTAGTTATACATAATTTATGATAAAGTATGTGGAAAACTACTAACTATAGCGTATAATCTTGGATCCATTTGGATATGACAAGTTGCTATTTACAGACACCTGGGAAGTCAGACTGGGTATGGAGATTTTGTTTTTTAGAAATTGGTATTTTACACTACGACAAGTCTTGATTTTTTGAATAGTTATTTAAAACATTGATGCTGTAACAGCAATTTGTGTTAATTATTATACATTCAAGTGTGAAACACTGGTAGTATAGCCTAGCCTCAACGAGTTAAGTATATGCCCCAGATGTCCTTTGTATTGACATTTTGTAACCTTTCTTAACAGTGTCAGTTACTGATTATGGAACTGTCTACCAAAAACTTATCTCACACACAATATCTGAATAATATACAATCTGAACAGTACATTAATCAGAATGAATGTGAATAAACAGTAGCTCAAGCAGTAATGTGATCACATGTAAAATTGGAAAAGGAAAAGACAGTGCATATTATTTTTTGCTGGCCTGCTGTGTTAGAGTAATTTAATTAACTGTTAATGTTTTTGAGTGTCTGTTTGCTAATCACTGTGGCCTGTGGTAGGGGCAAATAAATCCAAATTTCAGTTATTTGTTAGTATGATAAAAGCAACACCTAGGTTATCTAAACACCAGAATGTCATGTCTGTCAGGGCTCAGCGGGGTAGTTCTAGTTCATGTGAACTAAGGTCACTCAGACAGCTGAATTGAGCTGTGATGGTACTATTGTCACCTTTCCAAGATCTAATCTCCCTGGGCTGTTCTATTTATGGATGCCTTTTATTTAAGAATCGAACAAGGCATTTTTTATAGTATTTTTTAATGACCATGTGCCAAATGAGTATATTCAGGGATTATACAAGGGGATAAATATCCTGGAAAAAATTTTAAGGAGATGCTAATATAGCAGTTTGCTATTGTCCACTCTAGTTTCTTGTAAATAATATCTCTTCTTTATACACAAAAATTCACAGCTTCCAAAGGTTTTCCCCCTTAGGGTAACTTGTTGATATCCAGAATAACATCAGTGAAGTCAAATTCCAGATAGAAATGAAGCTTTTGAGTTTAAACTCCCTCTTGCTTGCAGAATTAGGAACCAAAAAACCTAAGTCATTATTCCTTATACTCACAGCACAAAAGAGACAGGGGCAGGATAAATCATAAGGATCAACTGACAGGCTAGACCTTGTCAGGATCCCTTCTATGGGGTTTGGTGTCTCTCAGAAATTAACTCTTACTCTTGGCTTTGTCATTTGTCACTTTTGGTTTATTCCTCTGGGTCATACTTTTGATCTATAAGTATTGCATGAGAAATGTTAGTAGACAGTTTCAACATCTTTTTTGAAAGTAAAGTAAGTGAAGTAAAGGCCCTCCGGTTGATCGTCGATTTGCTCGAGCGGGCCCAGTAACGTCTCCATTGGAGACTTTGTTGTTACTGTGTCTGGCATATCGAATACTCTCGGTAGCTTGCCGGGCTCTCCGAGAGGGGCGGAGGAATCGAACTCGGGTCGGCCATGTTGACTGCGTGCAAGGCAGACGCCCTACCCGCTGTGCTATCGCTCCAGGTCATTATTTCGAAATACTTTTTTTTCTTCCAAGCTCTTAAGAAGTATTCTCACTAGTTGTAGTCCCAGTAAGGGACATGGGATTACCTTTTGTTTTCTACAGGAAAGAAGATTACTTTTTATTATCTGCAATAGTAAGTCACGTATTGCCTTTACAGGTTCCTTCACACGCACCTTGCTACTCCTCTAGCTTTCACAATCTGTTCAAATTAAATGTCAAAAGTTTCGATTATTCTGTCTATGCGCTGCTAAAGCTAACACAGTTTTAATGTGTGTGTGTATGTGTGTGTGTGTGTGTGTGTGTGTGAGAGAGAGAGAGAGAGAGAGAGAGAGAGAGAGAGAGAGTGCATTATATTCCATGTTTTTAACTCAGAGCTTTTGTTTACAATATGGACTGATCTCAGCTGGGTGATAATTCTGTTGAATTTATCTGGAATTACTTCAGCCACTGTAGTTATTTGAAGAGTTAGCAGTGTTGGACATCTGAAATGCTTCACTCATGTGAATCATGCTTCATCTTGGAGGTTGGAGGTCTAAATAAAAATTTTCAGAGAAATTTTCTAGTAACAATTTTAATTTGCTTTATATTAGGAAATATTGTAAGTTTTTTCTTTCCTTTAGTTACATACATTAAATGTAGGTCTTAACAAAAGTACTGAAGAGAGTTCACACTTGTCCTTGTTCTGTTCTTTTCTAACTTCATCAAACTGTTTCCTGTTCCCTTTTTATTACTTATAAAATCCCATATCTCTGAGTTTTGGCATAATTCATCTGTGTGATATCTTTTTTGTGTGTAGGTATTTGATATGTTCTCTAAGGTCTAGCACAGATTTCATGTAACAAAGTCTTCATAAAATAAAATCATTTGGATTCCCATCATTTGCACTAATTGATTATTTGCCTTTTTAACCAGTTCTGGAAGAAAAAAGAACTGCATTTAAAACCCATGTGTGTTACAAAGTTAAGACACTTATTGATGTGAATGATCAGAAGGTTTTGAAAATCAGGCTGCACTGAATAACTATAGGAGAAACTATCACTACCTCTATGAAATGCTATGTTTCTTCTATTTGCAGAACAGGAATGTTTTCTTCAAGAAGTGTTACAGTAGTTTAGGTCAGGAAAGTCTAGAAAATATTTTATTCCTCATTCTATGAATAGGATCCTAAATCAACAGAAACAGAATTTTAATCTCTAGTGTCACTGACTAATTCATATTAAATTAAAAGCTAAAGCTTAGAATTTTTCCATTTTGTCTCTTTTCTCCCTACATTCCTTTCTTCTATTCTTCCCACTTCTTCCCTTTAATTTCCCCTTTTCATTCATTTTCTTATTCTAAGCGTTACGCCTCTAACTTGAAACTTTAATTTTTCCTGACTGGCAGATATAGTCAAAAGGAGCACTTAAATCACTCATCATTAAATAGGTCCTTTTCCCTATGTGTTTATTTTGAAATGGAAAAACATTTATAACAGTATCTATACATCCAAATGACATTTAAATTACTTATAATGATGGTAAAACAGATAGATTTATCTGAAACATTATTGTTAGAGATGATAAATAAGAAAAATTATAATGAATTTCAGGATTTTCATAATTTTCTTGATTTGAAAATCATTGATCTGCTATGTAACAGAAACAAGCTGATTAAAACTAGATTAAATCTCTACCGGTATTATTAACATCTAGTAAATGATACATATGTTTTTTATTCATACAATTTATGTTATTTTATATTTATTCTAAAATTATGCTGTGGCAACTAGAACGATAGTACAGGTGTTAAGGTGCTTGTCTTCCGTCCTCCCAACACCACCCCAAATTCTTGGAACTGTATATGGTTTGAGATTTGTTTGAGCGGGCACCATTACCCTCTCCATTGTGAGACTTGTTGTTACTGTTTTTGGCATATTGAATATGCCACGGGGAGCTTGCCAGGCACTGCCGTGAGTGCAGGATACTCTTGGTAGCTTCCCAGGCTCTCTAAGAGGGACAGAGGAATCGAACCCGGGTCAGCCATGTGCAAGGCAAACACCCTACCCGCTGTGCTATCGGCTCTGCCCAGGGCCTAGCAAGTTCTCCATGGCATATTTGATATGCCAAAAACAGTAACAAGTCTCATAATGTAGACGTTACTGGTGCCTGCTCGAGCAAATTGATGAACAATGGGAGGACAGTGCTATAATGCTACAGTGTATATGGCTTCCTGAGCAACCACACAAGTCACTCCTGAGCACAGAGCTGTGAATAGATCCTGATAGTCACCTAGAGTGACCCATTTCCCTAAAAACCAAAACAAATCAAACTAACCCCCCCAAATATACTGTGGAATGTTCAAATT